GCACTCTGATATGGGATGCCAGCCTCACAGGTGGTGGCTTTCACCTGTGTGCCACAACACCTGCCCATTAAATAGTCTTTTTTAAGTTACCAAAACAGAACATGTGTTGGGGCTGCCTTTGTGGCGCAGACAGATTAAGCTGTTGCCTTCAATGCTGGCTTCCCATTTTAAATTGCCAATTTGAGTCCTGGCTGCTTCTCTTCCATTCCAGCTCCCTACTACTGAGCTCGAAAAAGCAGCAGAAGATGGCCCAAGTATGTGGGCCCCTGATACCCACATGGGAGGCTGAATGGAGCTTCTGGCTCCTGGTTTAGGCCTTGCCCAGCCCTGGCTGTTGCAGCCCTTTGGGGAGTGAACCAGTGATTGGAAGATTTTCTCTCTCTCTCTCTCTGCCTTTCAAATAAATAATCTTTAAAAGAACATGTTAGATTGAAACATTTAATAAATGGAGACAAGCAAAATTTTAAAGGAAAACTTCATCCAATTTTGACACTATAACAATCATGCTGTTAGTATGATACTGCAAAATTTCTCTCTGCACACATAACTGCGTAGATACATATGTATTTTAACCCAAATGAGATCTTCATAAACATATTGTTTTTCAGCATGCTTTGTTTTCAGTTAACAATCTCCCCATTTGTATTTCAGTAAGTTTTTATTTAATACCAAGATATACAAATTTCCAAAATTGACCCCCAAATTTCCATTATATTGGTGTTCTGTTTAGTGGGTTATTATGTTAAAGATCACAATGTGCTGATTGCTTCTAGGCCATTTCAGTGGTCATTATTGGAAAAATTATGAGTTTTTATTGATCATTCCAATTATATTTTTTAAAGATTTATTTTATTTATTTGAAAGTCAGAGTTACACAGAGAGAGGAGAGGTGGAGAGAGAGAGAGAGAGAGAGAGAGAGAGAGAGAGGTCTTACATCAGCTGGTTCACTCCCCAAATAGTCACAATGACCAAAGCTGGGCCAATCTGAAGCCAGGAGTCAGTAGCTTCTTCCGGGTGTCCCACGTGGGTGCAGGGGCCCAAGGACTTGGATCATCTTCCACTGATTTCCTGGGCCATAGCAGAGATCTGGATCAGAAGTGGAGCAGCTGGGACTTGAACCAGCGTCCATATGGGATACTAGCACTGCAGGCGGCAGCTTTACCCGCTACACCACAGCACTAACCCCTCCAATTACATTTTAATCGTTTATATATTTTCAGTTATTTTCCTTAAAGTTGTAATTTTATCACTTTTTTCTTTCACTGGAAATATTGCCTCTTAACATCATGAACTTAATGACATATTTTTTAGCAATAGGTACTTACATATGAGGTTGTTTCAGAACATCACAACAGATACTACATCAAACAACACGACTTTTAAGAGAAGCTTTAATGATCACTATAGTTATTCTGTTCCTTGAATCCTGAGAATATTTAAAGCTTTAAAGTGCTGTATGCTAAAGTGAACTAACAATCAATCTTTCCTTTGGTGATTATTTTACCAATTTAATATATGATTAGGTTCATTTGTTTTCAATGATAGTTTTTGAAAATTTAGTTGTATAGAAAGGCATACAAGCCGGCGCCGCGGCTCACTAGGCTAATCCTCCGCCTTGTGGTGCCGGCACACCGGGTTCTAGTCCCGGTCGGGGCACCAGATTCTGTCCTGGTTGCCCCTCTTCCAGGCCAGCTCTCTGCTGTGGCCCGGGAGTGCAGTGGAGGATGGCCCAAGTACTTGGGCCCTGCACCCCATGGGAGACCAGGAGCAGCACCTGGCTCCTGCCATCGGATCAGCGCGGTGCGCCAGCTGCAGCATGCTGGCTGAGGCGGCCATTGGAGGGTGAACCAACGGCAAAGGAAGACCTTTCTCTCTCTGTCCCTCTCTCACTGTCCACTCTGCCTGTCAAAAAAAAAAAAAAAAAAAAAGGCATACAAGAGAAATTTTGCATGAAAAGTTCTACTTGCTTTATATTTTGTGTCTCTAAAGGTAAATATTTTCTCCATACCAAACATAGAAATCTAGTTTTATTATCTTATAGCCTTTACCTTACGTATAAAGGCCTATAATTTTTTTTAACCAATACCCTATGATTCATCACTTGGTTTGGATTCAATCTTACAAAAATACCCTGGGCACATTTCAACACTTAGTCTACGTGACAGTTCCAAAGCATTCGACACTCTTGCTTACGATCTCCTCCTTCTGTATTTCCCGACATCATTTTACTGATTCTCACTTTAGAGATGTAATTTTCCTCTCTCATTCTTTGTATTCTCTTCCTCTGCCTGTCTATGGTAATATTTCTATTCCCCAGCTTCTACCCTCAGCACTATTTTTATAGGATGCACTTCCTAGTTCTTCTCATCCGCACCAGTGGTTTTAACCACAGCTTTGTAACTATTGCCTGCATGTTGTATTTCCAGTCTAGTCATCCATGACCTCAATTTGTAACCCTAAAATCTAACAGACTATGACACACATCTACCTGAATCTTTCGAGGGGATCAAAATCAACACACACAAGCACACTCTGATTTTTCTACCCCATTCTTCCTCCTTATTATATTCTTTCTGAATATGTATTTTACTCACTTATCACCCAGACTATAAACCTGGGGGGGCGGTGGGAATCACTATAACAGATTGATACCAACAGCTTGTTATTTACTGCCCACAATCATCAATTCCTGCTGCCTTTGTTTAGTTTCTTTTTCTGTCTTTCTTTGATTACAAAGCTTCCTTAACACGTACTTTTGAGAAAATGATCACTCTCTTTCTGCAGTTTTTCAACAGTCTTCTCTTTCCTAAGGGCATGGCTACTTCTGCCTGAAATGCAGGGTTCTTTGCGATTCACAGGCACTCTCCCATCACTCTTAGATCACTAGGGGTTCCACTAGGCATTCTCTCAGATTTTCAAGCTTTGCAGTCTCTTCACGTTCTGTCCTTTCAGCTTAGTGACCTTTCCACATGCAACCTTCAGGATAAGCTCAGATTTCTGGTCCTTGAGGCTCTTCTGTCTAACGTAACTTGTAAGGAGTCAGTCTTCATTCTCACAGTTCTTATCATCTAAATTGTAACTGCTCTGAAAATTTTACACCCATAAGATGAGTTCCTTGAAGTCCATATGACTTCTGTATTCTTCTGGAATCTTTTGTGCCAAGCACAACACCTGTCTCACTTGAGGTGTCAGATGCAAGTAATGTAATGACTATGCTTAAAATGTAGCTTTAACTCTAAGGACAGTTCCTATCCTAGGGTGTTCAATACAGAAATCTCACACAGACTAGAGAGGACAACATTATAAAGATGAAACAAAATTTCTTTTTAAAAATGGGTGGCCTGCAGATGGATTTAATGTCAATCAAACTGTTATAATGAAATAGGATTGTGAGGAGGAAAGTACTTAGGCTAAGTATGAAATAACTGCTTATATAAACATTTATTTAAATATTTTCCTTCAAATAATACCATTAAGTTAAAAACATTTTTGTGTTCACTGGAACAACATCTTTATATATATATATATATATATATATATACACACACATATATTTCTTGTATTCTTTCTCATGGACAAGCTATTTAAAGTTAAGGAGACGGGTTCAAGAAAGTATTCCAGAATCACTTGTTTTTATTTGCTTTACTTGGTTTACAGGAGTTATTTATTTATAGTAGTATTTATGATGATTAATAGTGTTCCCTAGGCAGCATTAGAAGTTAATTTATAAATATCTTGGCAGATGGAAGATTATGTTGCAAAAATTGAGTCCATAAAATGTGTTTTACAAACTATTCTAGTGTTGCTTTTGCTGTTGATTTTACAGTTTATTTGTATTTCAGAATTATGAATTTAAAAATGTTTTATCTGAATTGGATTGATAATAATATGGTAAGTTTCACACTATATTCCTTGATGAGTAAATATTTGCATTGATTTGTATTAGTCTATTCCGACTCCTTTATAATTCCCAACTTGTATTAAGTACTTTCCAGCTAGGCAGTATTACTCACATTTCATTGCATTTCAGTAATACCAACTGGAAGGGTAGAGTGATCACAAGAAGAAATTCTGCTCTCAAGTTCATATTACGTTGGGACAGCTACATAGTGAATTTGAATCATATTTGTATATCTCAATTACTAATATAAACTATCATTAATGTTATAAGGCATTCAAAATTTTACTTTCTGCCGGTAGTTTCCCTTCAAATTGGTTACTTTGTGGGTTTATATACCTATTTTATACTCATGCTGCCATTCCTCAAAATGTTTCTTGGAAATTACTCTTAGAGTTTTAGAGTCTGTAGCATATTGTTTTTAATTTTTTGTGGTGAGTTTGACTTTTAAAAACACTGATAAAACAGTTTGGACTTAAAGAGTTGGAATTGTGAAATACCTAACTATGAATTAATTTTGGGCAGGATTGCAAATCAGATGCATACAGGGGTCAAGTGGGCAATGGAAAGTGAATGCAGAAGGTGTGATGGGGGTTTCAGGGATTGGAAGCACAGGCCTTGTCTGTAGCACTAGAGTCAACATTTTTTGGTTTCCAGTCTTGCAACTAGGGTAAAAATTTTCATATTTATGGACCTCCTCAATTTTTAAAAATGGGCTCAGTTATTTTGGACATGAAATTTACAATCAGTACTTTATAATAATACCTCTTCATGGTGCTTGTAATCAGTGCATAAAGTCAAAATTTTTTATACAAGCTATTTTCTTGAATTTCTCAATTGTATTTGGCAAAGAATGAGAGCAAAGTAGAAAGATGGCATATGATCTCCCCCTATACCTTATCCCTCATTTTTTTTCTCCATAGTATTTATCAATGTTTTATAAATTTCATATTTACTTTTTTGTTTATTGTTTTTCTCCCCACTAGAACATAAGCTTCAGATTTTTGCGGGGGAGGTTTCTTGATATCCTTAGGACCTAGGAAATTTATTGGTAATTAATAGGCCCTTAGTAAATATCTAGTATATTAATGAATATTCACAGATAACCAGCCACATGGAGAAAATGAATGAAGAATCATGGAAACCTGAGCTTGACAAGATAATCAGGAATACAACCAATAATGTGTTTGAGATGGCTCTCATTGATTGGAGAGAAGTGATTATGAGAATCTCTTCTGAAATCTGCATTAAGTGATGTCCCATTGGTTGCTTGAAGCCAGCGCTGGTGAGTTTAATTTCACCACGGAAATCAGCAAGTGATAAAATGTATCATTTACTAGCACACCATTGGAAACAAGAGTTGTGAGATTTTGAGTTAGCCAAAGGAAGTAGTTTCTATCATTTAGAACTATCCAACAGTGCAATGGTCTATCTCACAGAGGGTTTTAGTTCTGTATTAAAGATTCACTTGTTGAGCCTATCCATACACTGTAAAACTTTTTATTAATGTGTGTAGAATTGCTGGGTCATGGAATATGTTGCTGCTTTAAAAACTGTCATTTTTACTCTGGCTACTATTTGGATATTGTCATTGGTTATTATAAAGTTTTACTATGGCGTCTCTAGGTGTGAATTTATTTTTATTTATTCTACTTTAAAAATCATGGGGCTTTTAGAACCTATATTTGGATATCTTGTTTTAGTTCGAGAAAAATCTCGGCTATTCTCTCTCTCTTTTTTTAAAGATTTATTTATTTGAAAGTCAGAGTACACAGAGAGAGAAGTAGAGGCAGAGAGAGAGAGAGAGAGAGAAAGAGAGAAAGAGGTCTTCCATCCACTGGTTGACACCCCAATTGGCTGTCGCAGCCGGAGCTGGGCCAATCTGTAGCCAGAAGCCTGGAGCTTCTTCCAGATCTCCCATTCGGGTGCAAGGGCCCATCTTCTACTGCATTCCCAGACCATTGCAAAGAGCTGGATCAGAAGTGGAGAAGCCAGGACTGGAACCAGCGCCCATATGGGATGCCAGCACAGCAGGCGGTGGCTTTACTCACTACGCCACAGAGCCAGCCCCTATTATTTCTTAAAATATTGTTTCTGCCACGCTCTCTATCTTCTCCTTCTGAGATACCTGTTTTTCATTATGCCTTACCCTGTCTCCATATTTTCCGTCCATTTCTCTTACTACTTCCTACTGTTTATTTTCTTCTTTCTTCTACTCTATTAATTCATTTTTAACTATGTCTAACAAAATGATAAATCCTACAGAAAATTTTTTGAGCTTATGTTTTTTCTGTTCTTTTTTATTTTTGCAAAAGCCTATAAAATATATTTTTATATATTTATCTCATTAGTGAGAGACTTATAAGGGGGAAGTCTTAAATTTCTCTGAAAGAGGAAGAACAAATAAAAATTACCAGGGTGAAAATTCAGTCCTCCTATGACCCTGGTGGTCACAGCCCAGGGCTTCCAATCAGCATGTGTCTGGGGAAGAGTAGGCAGCAGGATTCTGGAAGTCCTCACCACCCTAGGTCTCAGTCTCTAATCCTGTGTCTCCATGGCTAGAGGGCTCTGCCCTAGAGAGTTTGTCAGGTAGGTGTCTGCCTTGTTACTTTGCAGTGCCTCTCTCTCCTGAGGTTTTGATTTCTTCTAGGTGATATGTGTAGGGTCCCAGACGGGTAAGTCCAGGACTGGCTCTGTGAGAGCGTCTGTTTTGAGGGCAAGCTGATCTCAGCAGCCCACGTAAACTAGAAAGCAATTCCCAATTGAAATATAGGCTGTCCCACCTGGGCTCTCCCAGCTTGGGGTGGAAAGGGAGAGGTTATGAACCACTATCTTCTGAGCTCAATGACAAGAGGAGTTGAAGTTCCACAGACATTTCTACAGAATCCCAAGCTTGCTTCACACAGAGGTAAAAATGCTGATCTATGACGTTGGCCTCAAGATCAGGGGAAACACACTGGGCTGAGAGAGGAAGCAAAGGATTCAACAGTGATTCAGAATTGAGGTTGATTCTGGTGACGCTATTGCCAAGTCCAAAATCAGAATAATTTTGGTTGGGTGACACCATTACTTTTTAAGACAAATTGGTCCAGAAGACTCAATCTGATGAGGTTAAATTGAAAGTACAATTATCTTGGATGCAACTTCATAAAACTCAATTAGTATGAGTGATTAATTAGATTAAAAGTAAGAAAGACCACACATGGGGCTATTTATTATATTAGAAAAACTGGATACTTTGTTTCTTTTATATATGTGGAATCTCATGTTCATTGCTCTTCTACCGGGCAGGTATATTGTGCTTCAAAAAAAGGCTGGAGTGAGTCCCCCAAATCAGAACACAAGATGCATGGGATCTGAGACTGAAATCTGCTGGAGGATTGTTTGGTGAGACTAATTCTCCAGTCTCAGTTTGCACCCTCATCTTTCTCCTTTGTTCCTCCACTTTTGAATTCCTAAATTACAAGGACTTTTCATACCTCCCCAGGCAAAGATCTTTCCTTTCCTCCTTTTCACTGGCAAGTTAGTGCTACCATGGGCAAGAGGACGGTCTGATTTTTTCACGGGAAGGAGAAAAGTCTTTCTTCCCTGTCCCACATATCTGCCTACTCATTTTTTTCTCTTCTTCTTCTTCTTCTTCTTCTTCTTTTTTTTTTTTTTTAAATTTTTTGACAGGCAGTGTTAGATAGTGAGAGAGAGAGACAGAGAGAAAAGTCTTCCTTCCGTTGGTTCACCACCAAAATGGCGCTGATCCGAAGCCGGGAGCCAGGTGCTTCCTCCTGGTCTCCCTTGTGGGTGCAGGGACCCAAGCACTTGGGCCATCCTCCACTGCCTTCCCGGGCCACAGCAGAGAGCTGGACTGGAAGAGGAGCAACCAGGACAGAACTGGCACCCCAACTGGGACTAGAACCTGAAGTGCTGGCTCCGCAGGTGGAGGATTAGCCTAGTGAGCCATGGCACCAGCTTTCTTCTTGATTTTTCTAATTGATTCTTCTTCAAACCTGCTGTGTCACTATTTAGTTTATAATACTTGGTCTTCATTTTATTAAATAAGCTAAGCATACATATTTTATAGTCTTTTATTTATGACAAAAATAATATATCAAATATTTTGGGGTATATTTTTTAAAATATATTTGTTTCTGCTTGCTTTTCTTTTAAATTTATTTTCATAAAGGGGACAGATTTTATGAATTTCATATAAACAGTTTGAAGAACATAATGATACTTCTCACCCTACCTTCCATCTCTCCCATCATCCCTCCTCCTTCCATTCTTATTTTTCTTTTAATTTTTGCAATGATATACTTTCTTTTTTTTTTTAAATTTATTTCTATAGATAGTGAGAGACAGAGAGAAAGATCTTCCTTCTATTGGTTCACTCCCCAAATGACTGCTATGGCTGGCGCTGCGCCAATCTGAAGCCAGGAGCCAGGAGCTTCTTCCTGGTCTCCCACACAGGTGCAGGGCCCAAGCACTTGGGCCATCCTCCTCTGCACTCCCAGGGCACAGCAGAGAGCTGGACTGGAAGAGGAGCAACCGGGACTAGAACCTGGTGCCCATATGGCATGCTGGAGCTGCAGGTGGAGGATTAACCAAGTGAGCCATGGCGCCGGCCCCAACATACTTTCAATATATTCATTTTCACTCCTTAATTCTTATTTCCTGTGTACCTGGTAGAGGTTATATTGCAATACATGCTGGAAATTGTTCCCATTCCTTATTTGTAAGAATAATTGGAAGTCAAGGATTAGAGACGTTTTCCTCCAGACGGGACTTTGTATTTTTTGTTCAAATAACTAGAAATTGTCCCAGTCTGAGACCATCTTAATCAGAGCTAAAGCCCCAGATTTTCTGGACTAACCAGATAATGAAAACCAGGCTAAAATCTATGTAAATATTAGTTTACTCCCAGTTATTACTAAGGATTTAAGTACAGATTTTGGTGTCTTAGTTTTAAGCACAGAGTGATAAATTAGAGCTCATTTCTGGTGGGACCCAAGCTTTTAAAACAATTGTATTTGGGTCAAGTGTTATAGTGGAGTAACCTGCTGCTTGAGATATATGCATCCCATATCAGAGTGTCAGTTCAAGTCCTAGCTACTCTGCTTTTGATCCAGTTTCCTGCTAATGCATCCCCATAGACAGAGGGTAATGGTTCAAGTCCTTGGGCTCCTGCCACTCACATAGGAGACCAGGATGGAGGTCCCCGCCCTGTTGCAGACATTTGGGGAGCGAATCAACAGATATTAAATCTCTCTCTCTCTCTATTACTCAGCATTTCAAGTAGATGGAATAAATAAGTTTTTTTATTATTTATTTGAGAGGTATAGGACAGAGGGGGAGAGAGACAGAAAGACAAACTGACAAAGAGGAGCTCCTATCTGCTGTGTCACTTCCCTAATGCCTGCAATGGCTGGAGGTGGGAGTTAGGGATGCAGCTGAAATCTCCCATGTCTGTGAAAGAACTCAGTTGCTCTGGCTATCAGCACTGCCTCTCAGGGTCTGCATTGGTGGGATGCTGGAGCCTGGGAACAGAGCCATGAACTGAACCCGGATTCTCTGAAGTGGGATGTGACCCTCTTAACTGCTAGGCTAAACGCCACTCTGGGCCCAGGATTTGACTTTTGCACTACTACAGACCCATAAATCACTAAAAGCTCAGCTCAACCTCAGAGTCATTGAAGTGTTAAGCTTCCGTATTTGGGTTCTTGTCTCTCTCTGGTTTTGTTCTGTTAATTCCCCATTTTCTTGCTAACTTCAAGTGTTCAGATTTTATTTTTGTTTCACCTAATTTTTCAGTTGTCCATTTGGAAAGTTGTCCTCGATTCCTAGTTATCCATTACTCAAAGTTGAACAATGATTAGTATTTGGAGAACTCGTCTGGTATCCTGATTTTAGTCTTATACTTAATGTCTACTGTAGTTGAGTATAGAATCCTGTGTTGAAAATAACATTGCTTTTTGAAGGCATTCTCCATGTCTTCTTGATCCTGATATTGGTGTTGTGAAGTCTAATTCTGATCTTCGTTACAATATCTTAAATGTGACTATTCTCAGCAAAACCTATTAGGATCATCTCTCTATCTGTAATATTCTTTTTTTTTTTTTTACTCCCCCCCTTTTTTAAAAAATTGCCTTTAGTCCTTGTATTCTCTGAGGCAAAAATTCCCACCTGCAGACCCCAGCAGCCTTGTGTCAGCAGAGAAATGTAAGTATAGACAGAACCATGACAAAGATAAACAGAGGTCCTGGGGTGGTGGTTCCCAGCGGTTGTGGTTCACAGCGATAAACCAGCCTATGGGTTTTACTTCATTCAGTGTGATTTCATCTAGATATTTATGTCCTGCAATTATAGCAAGCTTTCTTTGATAATTTCTTCCTCTCCTCCCCTGGATCTTCCACTAATCGGATAAAAGACCTCCCTCCTAGATGATTTTCTAACTTTCTTATGCTTTCCCTCTGATTACCCATACCTCTCTTTTCTGTTATGACATGTGAATGATTCTCTTTTTTCCCAATTCTTTTTCTGAATTCAAAATTCTTATCTATGTTTTTAATTTCCAAGAGCTTTTGTTTTCTGTTCCTGTTTTTATACCACATCCTGCTCTTGTTTTGTGACTGCAATATTTTCTTTTATGTTGAGAGACCCCATATGGACACTGGTTCCAGGCCCTTCTCCTTGGCTTCTGATCCAGCTACTTGCTAGTGTACCTGGAAAGACCCAGGTCATCCTGCACTTCATGGAAGATCAAAGGAGGCTCCAGGCTCCTAGTTTTGGCTTGGCTTAGCCCCAGCCATTGAAGCCATTTAAGGGGTGAATCAGCAGATGAAAGATTTTCTCTCTGTATAGTTCTGCTTTTAAAATAAATAAAAAAAATAAATAAATATATCTTCAAAATTTATTTTATTTATTTGAAGGGCAGAGTGACAGAGGAAGAGAGAGACAGAGATAGAGACAGAGAGGTCTCCTGCTAGTTCACTCCTCAAATGTCCACAACAGCCAAATGTAGGCCAGGCTGAAGCCAGGAGCCAGGAACTCTATCCTGACTGTGCATATTGGTGGCAGGTTCCCAAGTACTTGGCCACTTTCTGCTGCCTGCCTGGACACATTAGCAGGATGCTGGATTGGGGACAGAGCAGGTGCTCTGATATGGGATGCTGGCATCACAGGGAGCAGTTTACCTGTTGTGCCACAATCCCAGACCCTAAATGCTTTCTTAGGGCTCCCATCCATTTTCATATTTTCTGTGGCCACTTTTATGCTTCTATTTGGGGCCATATTTTAAATTTAAATAGCATTTCTATTCCATTATTACTACTACTAAAAATAATGAAAGCAAACATTTAGAAAGCATTTACTAAATGCCAACCTTTTCTCCAAACATTTGTCATCTAGTAAGTCATCTAAGCCTCAACTCTGTGAAATAGCATGTAGTTATTTAATGCCACAATAATGTTTGATAAAAAACCACTCTAAAGCTTTATTTTTTTTCACTTTAAAACTTAGGGACATTAAAAAGTGATAGCAATAGCCATTTATTATTTTTCACAAGTCACACTTTTTTTTTTTCTGGACTCTTTTTTTCTGCTGATGTGAGCAGAGTCCAAAAGACTTTAGTTTGGCTTACTCACCTATCTGCTGTCAACTGCATCGTTAATGGGAAACATGGGTGTAGATGTGGGATGGCCTCAGGTAGGACTTGGCTCTTTTACATGTGGTCATTCTTTTACACAAGGCTAGTCTAGGCTAATGTCTTTGCCTACATCAAGGTTGCCAGGAGGAACAGTGGAAACACACAAAGCTTTGTGAAGCCCAGGGTCACACTGTCCACTATCGCTTCCTCAATATTCTGCTAGACAAAGCAAATCTGAGCACTAGCCCAGTTCCACGGATGGGGAATAGACTCTGCTTCATGATGGGAAAAGCTGCAATATAAATCGAGTAGTGCAGAAGTAAAGCATGGGGTCAGTTTTCCTAGTTTTCTCCATATACAGGCATTATTGTTATCCTCATTTTAGAAGAAACTGAGATAAGGAGACACTAAGTTCTTAGTAAAAAGTAAGAATGCAAATAGGAGAGAGAGGAGCAAGAGAGGTGGGAGTTGGGGTAGGAGGGCAGATAATTGTATGTGTATAAAGATAGTTGAAAATAGATCTTAGTAAAAGGAGAAACTAAGGAACTTATTCAAGGTCATGGACTAATGAAATTGTGGCACTGCTGTTTGAATCCAGACAGTCTGGTTTCAGTCTTTGCTTTTACTATATACTATATATTCTCTCAAGAAAGTTATTAATCAGTTGAGAGAATGATAAGGGAAATGCAAAAGGTAGTAAAAAGGGTTTTGAAGTAAGTCTGTATAGAGAAAGAATGAAAAATCCCAACAA